AAAAAAAAATAGGGACCCACCTCTCTCTCTCCACCGTATACCCACCTGTAACGACCATTGATTCTCATTTCTCTACTCTTCTATGAAATCAAAAACCTTTTAACCCATCAACAAACTCATTCCTTTCTACTGCTCACTCTTCATCTCTACCGAAAAAGAAGATGGTTTCTTACAAACATGGGGTGAACGTTTTATCCTTCAAACCGTGCTTCAAAACCCTAGCCCCAAATCATTAACACATAAATGTAAACACCAAGATCATTGACTCCCTGGTTATTAGACGTAACATCCCGATGATGAGGTACTTCTAATTTTGACCCTATAATTTATTTATATTGCAATTTGGACCTTAAGTAAAAGAAAGAGTGCATGAGGGCCCTAGTGGCATTTTTGTAATTTGGGTGTTGGGGGAGTACGCCATGCGCACGTGTGTACGTTGATCGTACTAGGGCACGCCCTAGTACGCTAGGCGTACATCTGTACGCACAACGTACGTGCGAGGCATGCAAAACCTAATTTTTAAGGTTTGGCTCATATTTAAACCCCATTATAGCCTCATTTCCCCTCACTTCATCAACCTCCATCCTCTTAGAACGTTTTTTCAATCCTAATCCATTTTGTGAAGCATTTATAAGCTTGAGTGTGTTTGTGTGTGTTGTGCTGTTGAAGAAGAAGGAAGGAAGGAGAAACCATGTTGGAGGAGTGAAGCTCTTTAGATCCAGGGTCACACCACCTTTTGGCATCATTTGGAGGTATAAAGTTCTGAACTTGGTGAAGTTTCTTTTAGATCTTGGTTTGGGCTTGGTTTTATGTCCTTTTTGTCCCAAATGTGGTGTCTCATGAGCATAGCATGTTCTTGACCCAATAAGCCATCCTTTCAGACCTTTGGAAGGGTCTTGAGTCATAAAAATGGGGTCCAAATGGTTGGTTTTGCTCCATGCATCATTTAGAAGGTCTTAATCCATTAAGATGTTGAGTTTTGGTGTTTTAAGCACTTATTGGACATGCAAGGTCATAAACTTGGAAACTTTATGACTCTTCATGATATTTTGGACATGGATCTGGAATTGGACGCATTAAGTCAAAGTATTAAGCTCTTAATATGAAAAGAGAAAACCCTGTGAGTACGTTGTGCATACCTATGTGTACGTCGAGCGTACTCAGTCAGCCACGCCGTTTCTAGTCAACGGGAGTACTCCCCCGCGTACCTCCAGAGTACGCCACGCATACGCTCATTGGGTCGAATCGGTTGAGTTGACTCGGTTGGGTTGACTCAGTTGACTCATTTGATTTTGATCAAGTTTAACCAAGGGGCATTTTGGGTAATTTGAATGGTGTTTGAGAATTGGTCATTTTTATGAATAGGTAGCGGTTGGAGCTGAGATTCAGAGTAGGGATCTCATCAGCTATTGTTCAGACTGTGAGGTGAGTTTTCCTCATTGTACTTGCGGGTCGAAGGCTCCAAGGCTGACCCATTGTATTAGATATCCTGTTATGTGATAGTATGTTATCATGTTATAGTGATCTGTTAGATCGGTATCCTGGTATGTAAGATGATGCTATGCTTAGTGATCTGTAGATCTGCCTGATTGTCTGTTGAGTGGTTATATATGTTAATCTATTATGTATATGTAGACATGTTATGTGTGGTTGGGTTGAGGAGGATCGGTGTAGACCGAAGGCCAAGAGACCCAGGGCGGCCCAGATAGACTGAAGGCCTGAGAAGCGTACCAGTCAAGCTGAAGGCCCGGAGAACGGTCCAGATAGGCTTAAGGCCCGGTGAGGCGTTCCAATCAGGATGAAGGTTCTATGAGCAGTCGAGATAGTCTGTAGGTCGGCGCGGCGTTCCGGTCAGGCTGAAGGCTCTGTATGCATGTTGTTTGTTATTATGTTATGTGGTGGTACTTTTGGGGAACTCACTAAACGTTGGCTTACACTTTTGGGTTATGGTTTCAGGTACTTCGGATGTTCGTGGGAAGACAAAGGCGTGACCATACACATCCTATTGTTTATGGATTATGATTTTTGGAGACTCTGATGTTTGGAAAATAATTTGAAAACCATGATTTGTAAACAATTTATGATTTTGTATTTATTTTAAAAGTTAAAATTTCTTGTGATTTTTATGGATGTTATATTAGATGGAAAAATATTTGATTTTGCGAGTTCATGACCTTAGAGTTGCGCCATCTCCATTAATTTTGTCAATAAAATGTTGCTTCTACTAGGAAAAGAACCATCGCTACGGATTTCATCATCTTTAAGATTCACCATCGTAAGTTCTCATACTTATCCTTTGTTTTCATTAATCTAGTTGTTTTTCCCCTAGACTCAACACCTCGATTTGACTTTATTTTTCCTCTCCGGTAACTTGTCTTCCTCAATATTTTGAATGCATTTTACCGAGTTTGACTCTATAAGAAAGATGCATCTTTATGTCGTTTTTTTTATCAAAATAGATGTCTTTAAAATTTGCAATCGATGGGATTCATGGAATCATTAAACACACAAGCGAAGTTCAACTTATCAAAGTACCACCTCTGCAGTCGATAACTGATAAATCAATATTTGATAAATTGGTTACCATTACAGAAACTACAAGTACGCCATAATCTCTCATTTTCCTCAAAAACGTCCCAATCTATCTAGCAGTCTCGCTTGGCATCCCGATCTGGTGAAAACGATGGCCCAAATGACGGTGAACCAGATGGAAGACATGGGCAATTGGGGGAGTCCCTAGAAAAAGAAGGTCTAACGAGAGGGAAGATTTGGAGTCTATCATCGTCACAACCTCAATCATCAGTGTCGATCCGTTGCTTTCATCTTCAACCTTCATCACTACCAAAGAATATTCAAGCATATATTTGTGGTTGCAATAAAGGTCAAATCCATAGCAGGCACATATACACAAAGCTCTAGAGAGGAAAAAGATTAGAAATTTAGGTGGTTAATCGGTGCATTATGGTTGTTCATTGGTGGCGTGGTTTACTGGTTTGCGAAGTAGAATGATGAAGATAATCTGGTGGTAGCGTATTATGAGAGAAAAAGAGGGGGGGGGGCGCTCTTATTTTTAAATATTAAAATAAATAAATAAGTATTAAATTAAAAAATAATAGAAAATGGAAAATAAATACACCAAGGGTATTACAATCATTTCAATTTTCGTAGGGACCAAATATGCAACGAAAGTAGTTCTAAAGGACCACGGATCCAAAAAAGCTGAGGTTTGAACCAAAACCCGAAAAAAATTCATACCACAGAGACCTTTTTGCAGTTTTGTCTTATTATTATATTTAACTTTATCTTAATCTTTGTCTTTTTTTTGTCAACTGGATTTTGCATTTCATATGTAGATTCACAACATGCCAACATTGCAAGCAAGTCCACTATTTCAAACGATAATTAATTTTGGCGTATGCACGAGGGACGATTGGTATAATTTACTCTAATAATTAAAAAATGATCATATTATTCCTATGTCTATATTGAAGGATCGTTTACTTTAAAATTGTTGGAATTTTGTCCTCTCAACAAGCGAAACACATCATCTTCATCCATCTCTTTGGAATGTATACATTGATTGCTTAGTTTTTATTGTTAGTGATTATTGATATATTATAGCTAGAAGATACTTTAAATACTACCCTTGATATTTTGATGTTTAAAGTTGGTATATATGTTATTTTGAAAGTTTATGAAGGGTAAATACGATATTTAGAAATTAGGGTGGACAAATATGATATTTTGTTGCTTAAGAAGGATATATTTTGGTAACAATTTTGGATTGTATTTTTTTTTATCCTTACTTTTGACAACTATCATTATATATACACTTAAATCTGGGGAGCCTTATCTACAGTACACTTTTCTAATTCTGAAATTGACCACAAAAGTTTTGGCTTTTGGTATTTTAGGCCCCTTATTTGCTTTTGTTACAATTTCCCACATTATTTTGGTTTGTTTTGAGTCGGTTGCTCCCTCCACCGCCTCTCCCACCCAATCACATGTTGCACCGCCATGGACATCAGTCGTTATCTTCTTCCCTCGATTAAATCCATTCGTCTTCCAAACCTCTTTCTTCTTCGCTTCCGATTAGACCAGGTACAAAAACTCGAATTCCCGTTTCTTTTTACAACTTTTTTAGTCACCTTACAAAATCAACCCTCAATTTCATTTTCTATGGCCAATGGATTCGTTTGCATCTTCGTACCAACTGTCAACTGGGTTTAATTACGTTGTTCTTGCCCATGGTAGCCGCCAAATTCACAGCACTTTATCCCAGCAGCCGATTAATCGAGTCAAGCTCCACTACTTCCATGTTCGTTCCATATTTGGGGGTTAAGTATAGGGTCTGAACATGATTTGTATACAATCTTTTCTCCTCTTTTTTTCATTATTCTAAGTTCAATTTTGCATTTGACCGTGCGTTGTTCTTATTTTTTTTTCCCACTTTGGATCGGTGTTATCGCCTGAATAAAAGAGTTTTTTTTTTTTTTTTTTGGAGGAACAAGAGTTAGAGAGAGATTGAGATTGATGGCCTTCTTCCAGACTTCCATTTTATTCCTATCAAGTAACTTCACAACCTTCTTTCTTCTTGATAATTTTCCTTTCTCTTTGATGCTGTTGAATTTGATCTCAGTTTTTCATCTTATTATTATGTTTGCCTTTTGGATCATCTTGAAATAGATACTTGAAAGAGGACAACCCACGTGGGTCTGCTGGTTGACTACACAATTTCAGAGATCTCATCACAAAAGTAACAAGAAAAAACTATATTTTCAAACTCCTATCGAATGCTAACGTTTTTTATAACCGTCACACACACGTTCTTGCTAAATTGTGGTGTTTCCTGCACTTTCCCATTGCCCGGGATGCTTGCTATGACTTCCTTTTTTTTATACATTACATAAATTTATATAAAATTCATACATGTTAATAGGCAACTTAAATGTTTAAATGACTCATTCTAACATACACTACATATTTTTTATAGAGGCTGGATGGGAACAATCCTTGTAATTAAGGTTTCCCCTATATCAGCAGAACAATTTGAGGAACTTGTAGCTGATCCTAATTCGAACGAGTTGTTCCATTACACTGATAAACCTGAAACTTTTTATGTGCTTAACCAAAGTCAACAACTTGACATGTTAAACAGAATAATTAGTTTTTACTGTTTTGGTCTAATAACATATCTAATCTACACAGGTTACTGACCGAATAAATTCTGGTGTTTATGTATTTACACCCGAAATCTTTACTGCAATTCAAGGTGTTTCTGCACAACGAAAACTTATAAAAAACTACAATATAAATTAATATGTTTTTTTATTACCTGAATTCTGTTTTTTATTGCCTTGCAGCTAATCTGAGACGTCAACCGAGCTTTGCTTTGACACCTTACAGTCAGCAATAAGGTACTTTTTTAATTAATGACACAATTAAGTAATTTTATAGAGAAAGAAATTATGAAAATTTATAACAAATCGTGTCCTCATACAAGAAGTACATGTTACAGGAGTCTTCCTGCAAACTTTGTGAGATTGAGGTTTACTTATGTTTGGAAATCATGTAAGTTCAATTCAACGTTTTTATGGGTGAACATCTCAATTGAAGGTTTGCAACTTGCAAGCTTTATTAATATTTATTTTCTTTATTTACAAGTTACTTTTATTTCTTTCAATTTTGTGAAAATATGAAAATGATGACGTTTGGGTTAGTCTCTTTCACTCCACTATGTGAATCGTGGGCAGGAGGGGAATTACTTTCATTGTAACAATTTCAAACATGATTTCTTGCATAAATCGTGTCATAAACCCTTTTGTTGCATAAATTATTTAACCATTGAAATGTGATTGCATTAATATGCTAAAAGGCCTTCTATGTACGCATAAATTGATGGTAATAACTTGAGATGTGATTACAATTGTCAAATGTGGTTTCATAATTATGCCTACAACTCTTTTATTTATGTATAAATTGGTGACTTTGTCATGTAGAAAACCATTTTGTTGTATGTATCGGTTAATAAACGATACATGGTTGCACAGGTATGCAATTAATCCTTTTGTTTATGCATAAATTGCTGCACTTATAGTAACAACTTAAAACATGACCGAATTAACAGCTGATGTTGTGCAGGTTTTAGAAGTCGCTGATAACTTAGAAAAAGATATTCTACATACTGCAATTGAAGATTCTGTTGATAGTTGCAAATTTGGTTAGACAGTGGACAAAATTAAGACTAAACTGGTCGAATGAATGGCTATATACAAATGTCCAACAAGAGGTGGGCTCATTAAATAAATAGCAATGACTAATCTGTTTAGTTAGTGTATTATTCGTAATGATTATAATTTATAAAAGTGAAAACAATTAAACAATAATCTTTAGCATGCCATTCTACACACTCGATTCATATATAAATAAATACCCTCCAATTACTTAAACGTTATGTTGTCCGTATGATATTTTGCTAATCTTTTGCTAGCATCAGTAAACGTTATGATGTTTGTATGTGATTGTTCCTTATCATAAGTAAGTTCGTATTATATTGTTTGTATTATATTTTTTGTTTGTCCTTTACGTTTTATTATTAAAATGCTTATTTGATCAACAAAAACATTTTCATAAAAAATATTAAAAACTTGATAACCAAAATTTAGGAACGGTTCACTGATACTTAAAATTAATGATTTACATTTCATTAAAAAAAATTCATTCTCTAGAAAAGAATAAATATAATAACATAAAAATCATAAAAAGTTTATAAAAAAATTCATGAATGATTCACTAATATGAGATGAAAAATGGTTATAACCATTCACAAAAAAAAAAAAAAAATTCATAACACCAACTAACCCGTGCAACATAGGGGTGACTCTTTCCTAGTTTAAATGAGTTATATGGGTGCATAACCAATAACAAATTTTAAAACTCCAAATATTTATCTGAGTAAAAAGTAGTTTATTTTAAATTACTTTATCCGGTTTTTTAAAGATTTTTACAAGTTTTTGGTCATAATAAATATGATTTAAAAAAAGATGTTGTATTAGCTAATTCGAAACCGGATTTTTAAAAACCCAGATTATCCAAATTAAAAAAAAACAGTTCATATTTAACCGAGATACGATAGCCTAAAACTCGATTTTTATATTTACATGTTTCCATTTTCTGAAAAAGAATAACATATATATTTTTCTGAGGCAATTCTTTTATAGGAGAGCTCCGGGAGAGCTTCGATAAAGTCTCAATATTTTGTGTCAGTTTATGGTTTAATCCTAATTTTTATTTTTAGAACATAAAAGTCTTCATTATTTTATATTTTGCATAAATTAATGAAACAATCATTATTTCTTTTCAACAGGAAATGTCATATTATTATATAAAATGAGACAAAAATGATTTTTTTTCACTCTCCACTCCTACTTTGGAGTAGCCTAATCTGTAACAAAGCATCAGACCAAAAAGGGGAGCTCTGGCTTCTGCAAATGTGTTGGTACCTGGGCCATAAAAGGTAGAAAAAGCAACCAAAGCGGAGCCCTTATAGTCCCTAATAATGCCACCACCTGCTGCCATGCCATTCCTTGAAGAACCATCTGTGTTCAACTTCAAAATACCAAAAGGAGGAGACTTTTTTGTTCAAAAAATAAATGTTAGGATTAAAACACAAATTAACCCAAAATATTAGGACTTTATCGTAAATTTACCTTCATTTATAAACTTAAATGTGGTTTTAGTATACTCTACATCAAAAGTTGGCTTTGATCAATTTAGAACATATAATATATATATATATATATATATATATATATATATATATATATATACTTGAAGATATAAACGTGGTTTTTAATCATATATTACATGTTAAAAAATTTATAATATAATAATTATATTTTTATACTAAATTTATTTTATTATATATAACAAATATGATTATTATGTTAATAATAAGCATCAATTTTTATACCATTTTTATGGTATAAAACAAAAGAAATATGAAGTTTAACATTAAATATTTAAATATTAATAAAGTCAAGGTTGGGAAGTAAGGAGGCTTGTGTATGCGTAGGGACGATGTGGTGAAGGGTTTTTAACAGAACCTAGGTTTTAGTAGATGTTTTGTAAAGTAGGGGTTTCCATAATAGTTATTGGAGAGAGAGAGAGAGATTTTTTTCCACTCTGGTCTTCTTTTTTTCTTTCTTTTCTTTTTGACGCTTCACTAGTGAACATCATTTCAAGAGCTAGTAGGTGTCTAATGAAATTGTTTTCAAAAGCTGGTATCTCTTATGAAATTGTTTGGTCAAGAGGTGGCTACTATTTTACCTTTAAACACATTAAAAATTTTAGTTTTAACTAATTTTATATTACCATATACTTTAAATTATTATATAATTTTGTATTAAATTAATATAAAACTTTATATGTTATAGATAATGACAACAAAGTAATTATTTTTAATAAAACATATATTTATATTTATATTTATATCATTTATGCTTAAAGTTAAATCGTTTATAATTGACAATATTAACTTGAATTATTTTTATTTATTAACTTTCATACTTAATGTAAAAAAACTAGTAACTATACAATACTCTTTATTGTTTATGTTTATTGAGTTTTAATAGGTGAAGTTATAAATAATTTAAACATGATTAAGACTATATTAAATCAACATTATCTTTAATTTTTATTAGTAGTTGAAAACACAAATGACATATATGAATACAAAAAGAAGTTGAATAGTATAGTGGCTTCAAATCAATATAATAAAAGATAAATAATTTATCTTTAACCTAGCTAACAGTTTAAAAGAATGACCTTTTTTATAATATTTAGTAGGCGTATACCCGCAAATTGAGCATGATAAAATTATATGGTTGAAAGAACATTTTTTTTGTGAACAATGTTTTCTTAATACCTTCATAAGCATTTAGAATGACCATGTCTTTTTTTTCTATATACCTAAGAAACTTCATATAAAATTAACGAAGTGTAAAAATATTTTTGGGTAGGTATATAGAAATGGACCACTACCATGCAAATTTGTTATTGTAGTTCAGCTACACACAATAAACAAAAAAGATATATTAATTTATAGAAAGCATACAACATTTTAAAAAGATTATATATATATATATATATATATATATATATATATATATATAGTCAAACACACATACCATTTGTTTAACTTCATAGTAACCATTTCGTATATGTTATGATATTGATGTCATTTTGTTAATATGAAAATACATCATTTTATATAAATATTAAAATAGACATCTATACACATTGTATATAACAAAATATTTAAAAAGTTAACATTTTGAAGTTATAAAAATGATGACTTTTTAAGATTTTAAATAACAATTGATGTTGTTTGATAGAATTTAAGTCCATGATACCTTTTCCCTTTTTAAAATTTGTAATATATTATTATTTTGTTTAAAAAGTTATAAAGTAAAAAAGTTAACAATTTGGTTCACCCAAAATATTATAGTAAAGACAACTTTCAAATATCAACTATAATTTAAATTGAGTTTAGTCTTATAAAGTTCGATGGTTAGCCTTATAATGCATTATTTTGGAATCGATCCATAAGCTAACCATTAATTGTATATCTAAAGTTTTTACACTTTTAATAATAATGACTTTATTCACGATATATTTTATTTATGGGTAAAAAGACTAATATGTTTTTTAACTAATAATACAATTTAAATATGAAAATTAAAAAGTAGCACTTATAAAAAAATTATATATAGTTGTAGTCATCCATACATGTAAACAACGGTTAGAAGTCATTAAAAATTTAGGTTTAACTAATTTTATATTATCATATAATTTAACTTGTTATATAATTTTGTATCAAATTAATATAAAACTTTATATGTTATAGATAATGACAACAAAGTAATTACTTTTAATAAAACATATATTTTTATTTATATCTATATCATTTGAGGTTAAAGTTAAAACATTTATATAATATTAACTTAAATTGTTTTTATTTATTAACTTCTATACTTAATGTATAAAAAATATTAACCATACAATACTCTTTCTTGTTTATGTTTATTGAATTCTAATAGGTAAAGTTATAAATAATTTAAACATGACCAAGACTATATTGAATCAACGTTATATTTAATTTTTATTAATAGTTGAAAACACTAATGAGGTGCACTAATTTAGAAGGAAGGTGAATAGTATGATGGTTTCAAAACAATATAGTCGGTACAAGAAAACGCCGAAATAGAAACGAAAGGTTGCTATGGAATGTATTTTCGTTGTTATACTGCAACAGATCATGCTATGGAATGTCGTTCCATAGCTAATTTGCTACCACATTTTCTACGGAATTAATTTTCTGTAACAAAGATGGGAATTGCTACGGAAATTGTTACCGACTCAAAAAATCCGTTGGTATATTTGTTATCGATATCTCTATGGAAAAACCATTCGTAGCAAATTTGCAATAAATTTTTTTACAAAAATACTTTCCCTTGTAATTTTGCTACGAAATTAAATATCGTGGTTAATCTGCAACGAAATTTTTCAACGGAATAAAATATCATAGTTGTTTTGCTATGGAAGTAACATTCATAGCTATTTACCTACGAAATTATGCTACGGAATTTTATTTCCGTTGTTTGTTTTGCTATGAAAAGAAAACCCTAACTAAATTGTTACAAATTTTGTTACGAAATTAAATTCCATAGCAAATTTGCTAAAGAGTTCAAATTCATAACTATTTAGCTATGAAAATTTGCAACGATAATAAAACTCGTGGAAGTTTGACTATGGAGCCAATATCCGTTGCAACTTTTGTTACGGATTTTGTTATGAATTAATATTTTTTAGCTGTTTAGCAACATATATTAGCTACGAAAATCAATCTCGTAGATGATTTGCTATAGAGTAAATGTCAATTGCTATTTTGTAACGATTTTTGTTATGAAATTTAATTTTGTAGCAACTTGTCTAAAATTAAATTTTGTAATGATTTTTATTACAATTAAAAGGGTCAAACACAAAATTGTTTCCATGTTCCAACAATAAATGTTTGTTTATATAATCTGATAAATAGCTAAAATCAAAAGTTCCAAATGACCAAAACACAAACGTTTCCGAGTTCAAGCAGGCTTATAGCAACCATTCCAATTTCCAGTTTGGATCAAGACAACCAGGTGTAACCCTGTATCTTGGAGGTTTAAATTAAAGAATGAGCTCCAATCAATTGAAATATAGTTTTTTTGACAAAAAAAAAAAAACAATAACAACAACGTTAATTCTTAGAAATTGGAATTGAACTCATGACATTATTGAGAAAGCAAATGAACAAAACCAGCAAGACTAAATTGACGTTTGTGGGCCATATCAAAAATACATTCTAAATTCTTAAATAAAGTAAACTAATTCTTAAATAAAGTAAACTAAGCTAATTTAATTGAAAAAAGTGTAAAGCAAGATTTGAACTCGCGGCAAGTGATAAATAATGGCAAGCGCTTTGCCTGTTGAACTTATAGACATTCGATTTCTTTATCCAGAAACATCTTATATATATACAAGATATCTATAGTAAAGGCCCAATATTTTGGGAAAATTTTTAAAAAAGTCATAATTTTTTTTTTGAATAAATAAGCCCAGAAAACCGGGAAATTTATTTCGTTTAGCCCCTTTTTACCTAAGTAGGACACTTTTTTGATGTGGCAACTGACATTTATTAAAAAAATGGAAGTTTTAAGAGAAATGGAGGGCATGGGACTCGAACCTGGGTCTCCTCCCTCTTATTCCTTAAGAAAATGGAGGGCATGGGATTCGAACCTGTGCCAAATCCATTTCATTCAGCCACCTTAACCAGCTGACCTACATACATTTGATGCTTTTACCTAACCACTCAAAAGTTTTATGCATTAATTCCTAAAGCTTTTAACACAACAACCATTTTTATTATTATTATTATTATTATTATTATTATTATTATTATTATTATAAAAAACGTAAATAAACATAATAATTCGTAAATAATATATATTTAAAATATATATGTATTTTTTTACGTATTTTTAAAATATTTAAGTATTTTTTTTATGTATTCTAAGTATATTTAAGTATTTTTTTTATGCATTCTAAGTATTTTTTTTATGTATTCTAAGTATTTTTTTTTTCATGTATTCTAAGTATACCACTACCCGCCACCATCACCCCCACCACCTATCACCACCATCCACCAAAACCAACACCACCATCCACTAAAACCAACACCACCACCCACCATCACCCACCACTACCACCCACCACTTCCACCACCTATCACCACCACACACCTATACCACCAACTACTACCACCCACCACCATTACCAACACCCGCCACTACCACCTACCAACACCACCACACCCACCATCAACACCAACCCGCCTCCACCATGCATCACCAACTCGCAAACCACACCACCACCCCCACCACCCACCAAAACCACCGCCACCACCATCACCCACGCTATCACCTCGACCACCACCAACTACCACCCGACACCAACACCCCCACCACTACCCATTACCCAACACCACCACCCGTAATCTCCAACACCACCACCTGCCATCACCCATCTTTACCACCAACCACCCACATCATCACCACCTACCGTTCTCACTACCCACCACTTACCACCACCACCAAACATCACCACACGCCACCACCACTTGCCATCACCCACCCATCAATACCACCACCACCTACCCATCCACCACCCATCATAACCACCACCCCCACCCTCACACACCAAGACCACCACCCACCCATCACCCTTTAAACCACCACCCCCTACTGCCACCAACCATAATCCCACCCATCTACCCTACCCCTACCCATTTGACTTATCGTATAGTCACCCATCTATGGCTTATGGCTTAAGTCTTATGGACTAGGTTTTAAGGCTTATGGTTATAACTTAAGGGTTATGGTGTATGGCTTAAGAGGCAAAATGTTTAATGCTAAGTGATTGTGGCTTATACCTTATGCCATATAGCATACCTTATGTCATATGGCTTATGACATAAGCCATAATACCTAAACCCTAAACCCCTATAACCTAAACCTTATACCATAAACCCTATACCCTAAAGCATAAAGCCTTAAGTCACAAAGCCTTAAGCTACAAGCCATAATCCATAAGCCTTATGCTTCAATCCATAAGCTTTAATCCTTAAGCATATACACATATATACTTATGACTTAAGGTTTATGCCTTTATGGCTTATGATTTATGTTTTAAGGCTTTAGGGCTTATGGATTGGGGATTAGGCTTAAGGCTTATAGCTTGTGAATTATGGTTTAGTGCTTATTGTTTAAGGCTTATGGTTTACGACTTATGGTTTAAGGCTTATGACTAATGACTTTGGGTTTAGGCATATCGATTATGGATTTTGTCTTGTGGGTTATGACATATGACTTAGGTCTTAAGGCCTATGACATATGATGTATACTAGAACATATGTTTGATGACATATGGTTTAGAAATTAGGGATTAAGGTTTATAACTCAAGGCATGTTCAATGTTGCAAAACTCATTAGGTGTTCCCAGAGCAGCTGACTAATGAGTATTCGAAACATTTTTTTTAATCATTTTTTTCTCGGTCTAACATAAAATAACTATAATGCTCTTATAACCAATGTATTTATTTTTTGGACTTATTTATTATTAATTTACTGGAAATTTATTTTTGTCAAATTGTCAATCATAAACTTTGAGAGTTAGAGAATTTTAGTAGTTATACAAAAATTTGAAATTAAATTAGATAATTCACGTTGCCGCTCTTATTTTCATCTCCACTTCCCGGTAGTTATACAAAATTTAAATTAGATAATTCACATTACCGCTCTCGTTTTAATTTCCCCCTTCCTAGTTTCAAAGCCCTATCCTTTTTAAACCTAATTCAAATTTGGTACGCACCAGATACGTCCCTCACTCTCTTCTTTACCCTCTATCTTCTATCTAACCTAAAAGCAGCCGCCGACCACACGTATTGTCGATCCAAACACCATCGTCGACCACTTATGGCGATGTCGAACTCAAATCTCACATAACCGAGAGTCGTCAGCCACTCATATCGAGGACATCCACACCACGACGCACGAGAAACCATGTCGCTTTTCCACCTCTTCTGACCGACTTCACCACTCCGAAATCTATTCTACTTACCGACTGTTTCGTATTTGCAAAGAAGAGGTATGACTAAACCTAAAACCATCAATCCCTGTTGTTCTCTTTCTCACATTCGACACCTTCTCCAATATTAGCCTTTCTCATGAAGATTATGGCCCTGTTATAAGCTTAAGTTTCGATTGGAAGGTCGAAGTTATAGTCTTGTCGTATTGAGGTTTTTTATTTCTAAATTCTCTTATTTTGATTTGGGGGAGTTCGATTTCCTCTTATTCTCATTGTAATTGTATTTTTTTCAGCATGATTTTGTGGATTGTTACCTATTGTGTTTGAGTTCGGTCACAGTAAGGACTAGAGAGGACCTATTGAGTGAAAATTGATTTTCCTTTTGATCCCCAACTCTACTGCAATGTCATGTTCCATTAGCTGTTAATTGAAAATACTACTGAATGGAAAGTAAACAGGGATGCAAGTGAACAGGGACGCAAAAAGGAAAAAAACTTGGTAAATCATTTGAACATTGGTATGGTTTATATTTCTATGACCATTTGGTAGCCATTTTTTTCAAACATTCTATGTTTTCGCATATGTGTAGGGATATGCTAACAGATGACATGTTTTAGGAACTCAATTACTAAAGGTACTTTTTAAAAGATTAAATATGATTGGATTTTGCTTCAGGTAGTTCTTATTAGTAGTGTTTTCTCTTTCACGCATCCATCTTCTTTCATATGGTTTACTGACAGGTAAATTATCATGTATATGTGAAGCATCAGGTATTTTCTATTTCCCGGACTTCTGATTACAATTCTTCATTTGAGGAATATATAATTTAGCAAAGGAAAGAAAATGGAATCTCTTCAATATATGATTATTTGAAGTTTTAGATAATCTGGATATGGTTTTGGGTGCTTTTGGATTGAATGGGTAATTTCGTCCAAAGTCATGTAGATGCATGTGGATGTATTGTCAAGATGGTATTAATCATATTATGTTATATGGTTTCCGTTTAGCATATTATGTCGTATCATTTTGTGTGTTGATAAATCTATATGTTGCAGGATTGCTAAAAAAATCACAAGTTTATATTCAACATGCTTATATGAAACAACTTGGAGTTATTATACTTCTTATATTTTGTGAATTTGCATGATTTTTTTTGATTTGTTACAATTGCAGTGTCTATGGAGTTGGGTATTGATGATGAGAATGGGTCTAAACTCTTCAAATGTGATAAAATACGCCTCTTTTCAGAAAAAAAAATGATGAATTAGAAGAATTGAGAACTTGTGAGGAAACAAAAAGAGAATGACCGCAAAAGATGAACAACACACCACCAAATGCGAACAACTTGAACGACAACTACAATCGGCAGTGACGGTTACAAACACTTTTAAATAATTGCAAAAGTAGCAGATCATAGAGTGTTTATTTGTTTCTCACAGTTTTTATTTTGAATTAGGTTACTTTTCATTTCCATGTAATAAATATTTCTTATTTATTTTATGGTATAAATCTTATTTGATTTTTTGTTATTTTTGTTTTTTATATATTGGTACAAAATAATTGGGAATTAATTTGTAAATTAATTATGCATCCGTAACTATTTATCTTTGCAACGAAAAAATTCCTACAAAATGTGTCTATGGATTGTGCTATAGAAATTTGGCAACAAACTTTGTAACGGAAGCATGTTTGGCGATGGAATCTGTTATAAAATATAGACCACGAATTTTGCTATGAAACCAACACCATGAATATTGCTAGGGAGTCACCACAACGGATTTAGCTAGGGAACAATCACCATAGATTTTGTTAGGGATTCATCACCATTGAATTTGCTAGGGATCTACAACTACGAATTTTGCTAGGGATTCATCACCATGAAATTTGCTACGGATCCACTACAATGAAATTTGTGACGGAAGAACTACTACGGAACGCGCAACGGAATCCTACTACGGAATACATGACGGAATACCATCTACAACGGATTTCATTCCGTTGTCATATCTGTGACGGAATTATTGTTTCCCTCGCAAACCCTCGCTACGAGGTTTTTTGGGACGAAAATCGGTCGTCGCAAATTCCGTCGCAATTTGTCATGTGCAACGGAATTTCAGCTTCTTGCAACGAATTCCTTCCCTAGCAAAATCGCGTTTTTCTTGTAGTGAGTAAAAGATAAATAATTTATCTTTAACCACATTAAAAGTTGAAAAATGGTCTTCTATATAATATTTTTTATAGAAATAGATATATAGATTTATACTTGTTTTCTTTGATTTATCAATATTTTTTTAATGAATGTTTATATTTGCAAAAATTTGATTTAATTTATCAAACTCGATCGTTCTATTTTTTTCCATTTAGGTAGAAATCATTTCTAGTTTCGATTTTTATTGGTATCTAAGGGTTTTATATTACAAATTATAATCATATTCATTACCACTTAAATACTTAGTTAAAAGATTCTAACTTAAGATGAATACTAAAACTAATAGATATTTTTAGTTATCTTACATTGAATTGTTATTATATTAGATAACGATATAATAGCAGGTTGGCCGTTGCAAAATTATTAACTTACCAACTTTAACAACAGGTGTCAAAAATTTGGTCATTAATCTAATCATTGTGATTTAGTTGATTTTTATAGAAAATCATTGATACTTCTTTTTTCGGATTTGAAATATTAAAATCCAAAATTTCTAATTTGATATATAATAATCAATTGATTTTTTGTATTTAAAAAGATATTTATGACAAATAAATGTTTAAAAAAATAAATCACAAAATACAAAAGAATTTTATAGTAATGATAAAAAAAATCATTTTCATTCAAAACATAATTGTTTTAAATTGGGTTTTAATGAGTAAAAAGTTTATAGGTTTTAGGAACGAAAAATCTTTGTGGGTTTTGATGTTAAAAAACTAAATTTTGACCTAACAAAAAATTTAACATGTTATGCATGTTTCGCTTTTTATCAACATATATATAAATTGAAAGAAATAAAATAACCTAGATTGATTTATCTATGTCGACATTCATTTTTCTTTTCATGTATTACATACAACTAAAACAAAAAAGAGAAAAGAAGAAAGTGTGAAAAACCAAACAAGTAACAAAAAAAAAAAACTCTATAAATACATATATTGAAAGAGAACAAAGAATTTAGATAGATTTACCTATTTGTACATTTTTTTTCTATTTTTCATACATTATAGATAGCTAAAATAACAAAAAAATAAAATGTGAGTAACCATCCAAATCAAAACAATTTTTATAAAAATATAAATTGGAACGGAGAAAAAGAACTCAAATACATTTTCCTATTAACACATTTTTTTTTTCAAATTTCATCTATTCTAAATAAGTTCACATATAGGCACAAAAAAAAAGTTGATAACTATTTTGTATAAGTTCAAGAGGTTGGAGAGTATCAAATGAATATGGTTCAAAATATAAATGATTTATCTTGAACTATATGATCGGGTGATAGATTCAAAAATTAGGGAGGACTGCGAATACAAATCTTAGTCGTAAGATTGAAAAAATAAAAGGTTAAGATCTTTTTATTTATCGTCAAAATATCGTGAGATAATATAACATTTTGGTAATTATTTACAAGATTTTGGTAGTTTAGTTTATAAGTTAAATGTTTAGAGGTTTAAAATAGAAAAGGAAAAATCAGGAAAAAAAAATCAAAATTTTCAGCAGACTTGCCTTGCGCTCCTCTTCCTCACCTTCCCCGACTCTCAGTTTAGTGTTAGTCTGCTATTGGCTAATTTTTTTTACACTCACTTCGTTTTTTTTATTAGAACTTTCTTTTATAATTTTTTCTTTTCTAAATCTTAAAAAACAAAAGTTCTTAAAATTTATTATCTATATAATGAACGAAATTCTAAAATTTTGATTTATTTTTTAATTTTTACTATTTACTAAAAAAAAAACTTAGAAAAAAATTCCCCAAAAGTCATAATTTTTTTAGAGATAATTTTACTCACAATATTAATGACTTTGTAAAAAAACTTTAAAATAAGCTTTTGAAGTCTTTATATTTTGGTTTTAGGAAATATTTGTTTTTATAAAATATAACGGAATTTTTTATCCAATTTTAGAAAAAGAAAATGATAAAGTTCTTCGTAATACTATTTTAGTGAGTTTGTAAGAGAAAATTTTCAAAAATATTATTGTTAAGGATACGAACGTTTTGTTTAAATGATTTTAATTTTTTATAAAAAACAAGACATGAAAATTTTCGTTCTCAAAGTAAAAAATCCTTCTAAAGGTTTACTATATATAATATATTATGAATTTTTTCAAACGAAATTTTAAAAAATAATGTTGTTTAGATACCAAATTTTATTTTAAAAGATTACACATTTTAAAAAAAATGTTGAACATAATATGATCCAAAATGAGATAATTTAAAATATTTACGATTCAACATTTTTACGATTATTAATTTGTTATGACCTAAAAATATTTTGATTCAATTATTTTATGATCTTTATTTATATCTTTTATAATTCAAAATTAAATTAGTTAAAATATATAATCTTCCAAAATTTATTATAAACAAAAATTTATTTTTTAATATATTATTGATCCAAAATCATGTGATTAAAAAATAATATGATGCAAAAATATTATGACCTAAATATATTATGATACTTAATATTTTTAATATTTAAAACTTTTATAATTGTTAAACATTAAAAACTCAAACTAATATTTACTTTAAAAGCATAAAAAAACACAAGCAACAAAAAACATGTAGTAAAGACATTAATTAAATAAAAAAACGAAAATAAAATAAAAGAAAATAACAAAAAAAACAAAAATAATAAAAATATAAAAAAATAAATAATAAAAAACTCTAAAAACTGAGTATATATATATTTTATAAAAATTGGAAAAGTAATATTTTAAAAAACATATATAAAAACATAAAAATAAAACGAAATTAAAAAATAAAGCCCGCTTAAACGACGTTCCATGGAAGTTCGTCGCACGCGATTGAATCATCGAGTCTGTATTTCATTATCTTTCAAAACTAAGACCACCATTTACGAGAACTTAAAGTTATTGGGAGAACTTAAAGATTTACAAGAACTCGAGAACTCCTACTCCGTTTACCATTTTTCAAAACCAAGACAACCATTAGACCCTAACGTTGCGTCTAAGAGAGATCCATGCTCAACAAAAAAGATTTGACGACTTTTTTTTAAATGTGCATATATACATATATGCACATTTGAATGTTCATATATGGGAATTTAGTGTTTGTTTTTCAAAAAATTTCAAAACCAACAAAACAATGTGACTCTAATACCAATGTTTAAGAGAATCATAACTTGAAAACATCAAAAAAAAAAAAAAAAAAAAAAAAAACACATGAAACGTAAATATGTATGCATGCACATTTAGATATGCATATATGCACATTTCAAAAAAAAAAGTTCGTCAAATCATTTTTTGGACAATAGATCTCTCTTATGCGCAACTCTAGGAGTCTTGTAACACTCCAATTTAGGTATTACCATTGAAGCCCTTGAAGTTTTAAATATTGCATAATAAGTCCCTTAAGTACGCTGGGCGTACTTCATGAGTACGCTTAGCGTACAATGCTTAGATGATTGCGAAGGGCCAGCACGTACGCTTGGCGTACCAAAGAGTACGTGGGGCGTACGTGACGAATGTTCAAACCCTAATTTTCGGACTTGAGACCTATATAAGCATCCTTATCTCATTTGAGCTTCACCCTAATCAGCCTCCTTCACCTTCAAACATCCCTGAAAACCATAAAATCATTAGAGAGTGTGTTTTGAGCTTAAGGAGTGCATTTGCGGCCATTTTAGTGTCCATTCAAGAAGAAGGAGTTGCTAAGCAAGCTTGGAGTGGCATTGGGCTTCAAGAATCTGCATCTAGTTCACCTTGAAGAGCTTCTGGAGGTATAAAGCTTTGATCTTTCCATCTTATTCATTAGATCTAGCTAGGGTTTTCTATTTGGTCCGTTTTGTTAGTTTTGGACCTTCTCTTGAGAGTTGAGCAACTCCAAAGGCTGAAATGGTTAGATCTGAGCTTTGTGAGCATGCTAGATGCATAAAGGTGCTAGCTGGGGAGTATTTAGACTCCATGCATGAGTTTGAAGCCTTATATGAAGTCATAATGTGAATAATGAAGTTTTAAGTCCCATATAGCATGCAAGGGCATAAAGTTGCCAACTTTATGCCCTAGGATGTCTTGATGAGCTCAGATCTTGTATTGGATGTTAGAACACCGAGTATTAAGCACTTAATGGAAGAAAGTGCTTAATTTTTTTGTACGACGGGCGTAAGTTAGAGTACGCCGTGCGTACAGCTCAGGGACTCAGTACGCTGCACGTACCAGGGCGGTACGCAAGGTGTACGCATCTCAGATGGGATTGGACTTGTTTTGGGCTTTTAAGCTTTTGGGCGTTAATTAGTCATTGGGAC